CCCCTTAATTAAAAATGTCCGTGCATAACAGAGCAGCATTGTGCTGCACAAATGTTTCTTGTTGGCCCGTAACATAAATGTCATTGCTTTTTCATCTGCTCAACCCTGATCTGCACTGCTGGAATGTCCATGTCTGGTTATTCTCTTACTCTGGGGTGTCAAACTGGTGGCCCTCTAGCTGTTGCAAAACTACAAGTCCCATCATGCCTCTGCCTTTATGAGTCATGCTTGTAACTGTCAGTCTTGCATGCCTCATGGGACTTGTAGTTTGACAGAAGATGGAGGGCCGCCATTTTGACACCCATGCTTCCTACTGAAGTGATAAAACAGTCAGGTACATTAATATCAAAGTGTTGTAAATTAGGAATTAATAGGTTTTGTATTGGCCTAGAACAGGGGTCTCCAAACTATGGCCCTCCAGGTTTTGAGGAACTGCAAGTCCCATGAGGCCTTGCAAGACTCTGACAACCACAGGCAAGACTCCCAGGGACAAAGGCATGATGGGACTTGTAGTATTTCAACAGCTGGAGGGCCACAGTTTGGAGACCCCTGGCCTAGAAGATTGCTGCAAAGGAAATGTGATGTATAGGTCTGCAGCATTATTCCCAAACAGAGCCATGGATAAGCGGGTACCACCAGTCCTCCTGTACAGGGCCCAGGACAGCAGGGAGGCCCAGGCAACTGGGTGAATTGGGTATGGACAGAGAGGGTGATCAGCACAACAGGGGGCAATTACTAGAACCAATCCCTTGTATGGCTTGCTCTGCAGCAGCTGAAAGCTTCTTCTTCTCCTTTCCCCTGGCTTTCAGCTGCTTCAGAGGGAGTAATACAGAGAATCGGTTCTAGTAATTGCCCCCCGCCACACCAATCACTCTCCCTGTATACCATACATTTCCCTTCACTGCCCAGGCCCCCTTGTTTGCCCGCACCTCTGCACTGCTGCCGGGTTCCCTCTTCTCCTTTCCACCAGCAGTTGTGAGCACAAAATAGGATCCTTCAGCATGTAGAGTGGGGGAAGGGCCCAGTAAATATGTCACATTCACCAGCCCCTTCCTTTCCTGAATGAACACAATGAGTGACTGTTACTTATCACTCATTCATAACTGAAGCATAGTAAACTGTGGGGGTTTTTTTTTTGGGGGGGGGGCTGTCAAGTTGACTGTATGGGGCCCCATGGTTTCTAACAGCAGCCCTGTTCCCAGAGCTCTTCCTATTAGGAGAAAAGAAGAGAAGAATTAACCTTTGTGACCTAATATTGGTCAATAAGTTGCATGTTTGTAGTGTGTTGTTATTATGTGGCTGGAAATGTATTTTGGCAATCAATACACTGATACAAATTGGAAGGAAAAAAGATTTTCTTGGCAGATCATCTGTACGAATAACATCCTCAAAATGTTCAAATTTCACAGCGGTTGCAGAGGATACAGCCACAGTAACCTTACACAGAAAGTTCCTAAATTAACCCAATGAACAAAGTTCTCAGCTAACAAAGCTGAGGCAATGCCGTGACTGATGCATGGTTGTTGGGAAGGGGGATTCTCCGTCCCATTGATGCTGATGGAATTCTTCCTCCTACTGCAGTTAATGATGGGGAATTCTTCTACCCACTGACCATGGGCATTTGTTCCTTTCACTGACTCTGGACGCCTTTGCATCTTTAATTCCAACTGCTTTACCAATGCCAGGACATTTTTCCTCCAGTCACCAGCAGATGACACTATGTAACATACTCCTGACCTTTGCACTCTGTATCTTTTGTGTTTTACTCCTGATCCCTGCATTCCATAAGCTGTGTTGTACACTGGGTTTTTTTCTTATCAGAGAATAGTTGCAGGTAATCACCTCCCCCGCCTTGTCTCTCCCCATCCACATTCTCACTGTCAGAGCAAAGTTAGGAGTCATGGCTGGTTCACACATGGTGTGTCAAACTGCATTAATCTGAGTTGAACAATGCAGGTTCAATGCAAAGACACAGCAATTGCTATTGTTATCTATGTGCCCAGTCCACAACAAGTAATGTGTTGGCGTGTGTTGACAAGTTTAGACATGCTGCATTTTTTTTGTAGTACAGCACATGAAATCCACCAGGTGGATCCCTTTGAGAATGTGCGTGCACACGAAACGTGTCAGAGAGGAGCCTATGTTGACATCACATCACCGCATCCACTTGATGGTCCGGCGGCCATCTTTGTAAGTGTTTTTTATCCATTGATGATTTTATGCGCCGCGTGGTTGCTATCTTTTTAATAAAACATACTACTCTATATGATACTGTCTCCAGGCTCGGTATATGAGCTTGCACTCTAGGAGGAATCCCTTTCCCTGGTTCACCATGGGCTGGAGATGGAGACTTGGCTACTTTACTTTTGATTGTTCATTTGGTGTATCACTGGCTTCTGGAGAGATCCATCTTCAACCAGGAGGAACAAGCAGGAAACACCCCTTATGCAGGCCATAGATGGGTCGAAAATCGGCCGATTTTTCTTTTAAAAAAACGAACAATCGGTCGTTCAAGTGGCCGACGATACCACCAATGGTAAAAAAAAATCGGCCGATTTTCATCCCGTCTACAGCCGGCAAAAAGTGTCCCTGCAGAAAGCTCTGCTATTTCTGACAGTTCTCTGACAGTTCCTTGACATTTACAGCGGTTGCAACATTGTATCTATTTGTTTCCATTTAGGATACAGATGTTTTTATTCAGAAACAAATATATACAATGTTGCAACCGCTGTAAATGTCAAGGAACTGTCAGAGAACTGTCAAAGAAATAGCGGAGCTCTCTGCAGAGACACTTTTTGCTGGACTGGAATTCCTCTTATTTTCATCCTACTTCTTCTTCTTCTTCTTTTTCATCCTCATCCTCTTCTTCTTCATCCTCATCCTCTTCTTCTTCTTCTTCATCCTCTTCTTCTTCTTTTTCTTCTTCTTCATCCTCATCCTCTTCTTCTTCATCATCCTCATCCTCTTCTTCTTCATCATCCTCATCCTCTTCTTCTTCCTCATCCTCTTCTTCTTCTTCATCATCATCCTCTTCTTCTTCTTCATCATCCTCATCCTCTTCTTCTTCATCCTCATCCTCTTCTTTTTTCTTCTTCATCCTCATCCTCTTCTTCTTCATCATCCTCATCCTCTTCTTCTTCTTCTTCATCCTCATCCTCTTCTTCTTCTTCTTCTTCTTCATCCTCACCCTCTCTTCTTCTTCTTCTTCTTCTTCATCCTCATCCTCTTCTTCTTCATCCTTATCCTCTTCTTCTTCTTCATCCTCATCCTCTTCTTCTTCTTCTTCTTCTTCATCCTCATCCTCTTCTTCTTCATCCTCATCCTCTTCTTCTTCTTCTTCTTCTTCTTCATCCTCTTCTTCTTCATCCTCATCCTCTTCTTCTTCTTCTTCTTCTTCTTCTTCTTCTTCTTCTTCCTCATCCTCTTCTTCTTCTTCTCCTTCTTCTTCATCCTCATCCTCTTCTTCTTCATCATCCTCATCCTCTTCTTCTTCATCATCCTCATCCTCTTCTTCTTCCTCTTCTTCATCCTCTTCCTCTTCTTTTTCTTCTTTTTGTCTTCCTCTTGCAGGTCACTGCTCATGCGTAGATTTTTTATCGGTAAAAAAATCGGCCGATTTGCCCACTAATTGCCGCGAAAATCGGCCGATCGGCAAAATCGACCGATTTTTTTCCAACTTTACCAAAAAAAAAAAAAACGGCCAAAATACCGAAAAATGGCCGAACAAAGAGCCCACTAACGATCCGAAAATCGGCCGATTTTATTTTCGGCCGAAAAATCGGCCGATTTTCGACCCATCTATGGCCTGCATTAGTGTCATTCCGCTGTGGGCTTGCTTGCTACTTACTTCTGGTGCATGATTTATGGTGGAGGTGCAGTGCGAAAGTAACAGAAGTCACTACATTTTGTTGATTTGATCACATCACTATTTTTGGGACTATTATGATATTTAGAGGACTTATATATTTCCATTTGTTATTTGTTATACTGTCCATTTTTTGTTTCTTCATTGGAGTATTCACAATTCCCTATTTCTTTTTTATGATGTTTCCTTTCTTTTGTACAATCACATTGGGCATCATTGATTACAACACACATTTTTATTAGTGCAGCACATTGATATTATAGCGTCACAACGCATGTCAATGATTTGCAATGCATGTCTATGCATACTGTCAAGTGAAGTGTAAGCTTTGTTTCTATACATACAGGACCTTAAGCCCTGGTTCACATATATGCAGCTGTGGGGCCGTGTTTTGCGTGGACACGAGAGCCCATTCATTTGAATGGACTACCGTGCCCTGTGACACGCAGGGAAGATGTCCCTGCACTTCTTCTGAAAACACAGCCCGCACAGGAACCTCGGTTCCCAGTACAGTTGCATTTTCCAGTGCGGGCAGCGTGCCATTAGAACTAATGGCACTCGCCCGTGGGTCCGCATTTGTGCGGGTGGTGCAGCTGCACGGAGTTTCGTGCGGATCCGCAGCAGCACCACCCGCGCACAGATGTGAACCTAGCCTAAATGCCGGTACCTCCTGGTACAGCATTCTGTCCCATCCAGCCGCAGCCTGCCAAAGACTTTGACAGGCTGCCTGCAGCAACTGCAACTGTCCCTCCCGTGTGCAATGAAATACTGGAAGCAACACACTGCAAATGGACATATGAGATAGTGTGCTTTTAAAGAAATAACACCACAACAAAAAGAAATTGAATTGATCCCATATCTAAAGTCATATTACTGATGTTGTTAAAGGGCAGACATATATTGTAAGTCACCCTATAGATATTAGATATAGATTTCTGGTATTTCCCTGTTCAGGCCCCCCCCAGCTCAGTTTACAAGCGTCATTGAGAACTGGGCGTAGACAGTCTCCTTCACTTCCCACATGTAAAACACAGGCAGCTGCTAGAGTTTAAAAATCAGTCCAAAGCTCAGGACCAGCAGAATACAAGGAAAGGTCTTTTCATTGTCCTACAATTGTTTCTAATCTTCTAGAAGAATGGCAGAGCAAGCAGCACCCCAGGGAACAGACCCTGCACCTCCGGGTCCTAAAGTAAGTATTTGTTTTATAGATGCTGCTCTCTATTTGTATGTAGTTATAGAAAGTAGACTAGACAAAAAGGCTTACTTTCTATACTTAAATCTGCCTGAAAAATGGCCTTTCAAACCTAAAACCCCTTTTGATTGGAATAATTCACTAATTTGCATCTTGTCTTTGGACCTCATTTACAGGGGTGCTGAGATCTGTAGTCCCTGAATGGGATGGGTTTTTTTAGACTTCTATTAAGTTTTTTCAAGTAAACTAGAAAATACTAAACGGAGCCTTGCGGGCAGGCTTGCCAGGTGTGCAGGAAGCCTGTTCAAGTCTTTGGGGGCGCGGCGGCTGCACAAACACAGCCACTCATCCCAATGTGACAGGCATGCAGGTGTGTAGCCATGAATGCAAGCGCGGTCTGCGTTCAGGGCTGCCCACCTGTCAAATTGGGGCAAGCTGCAACCCCATACATGGGCTGCCTGCACGCAGCACCTGGCGGTCACAGATGTATAAACACACTTCATGGACTATGGGTTCCAGACCCATGTGAGTGAGGCCTTAAAATAATAAAATTAATTAGTGAGTCAGTCAACCATAAGTGCTTTTAAACATGCCTGGGGCAAACAGATCTATTAAAAAGAGAAAAAAAATAGAAAAAAGGGGCCGACACATGGTGTTTTTACTCCATTTTCTGTGTTTAAAATGGGGACAAAAAAAAAAAAACCCAGAATCAACACCGAGCTTTTGGAGCATGTGTGGGGCAGCACAGTGGTTAAATGGTTAGCACTTCCACCTGCCAGTACTAGGGTCATTGGTTCAAATCCCAACCATGGCACCACCTGCCTGGAGTTTGCATGTTCTCCCTGTGCGGGTTTCCTCCAGGCACTCCAGTTTCCTCCCACAGTCCAAAGACATGCTGGTAGGTTAATCTGATCCTGTCTAAATTGGCCCTAGTATGTGTATGAATGTAAGTTAGGGACTTTAGATTGTATGCTCCTTGAGGGTTAGGGACTGATGTGTATGTAATATATACATAATGTAAAAGCGCTATATAAGTACCTGAAATAAATGAAATCTGTAGACATGAGCTCAGGGTTGGACGTGCACTCAGAAGTTGACCGCCATTAATCACCTGAACTTCCCTAAGTATGATTGCATTGTGCAAACCGTTTGTATTTAGCCTGCTGGGTAGAGATGGTGATTAAGCTCTACTAAAACGTCTGACATTGATTTATCAGGGGCAAACAATAGTGACTGGACAAACTTTACAATTTCATGTCATTATTTTATGAAAAAACAAACCACATGTAAAAAAGTCAGGACGGCCTTGTACACGCCTGCACTGACAGAAATCGTTTCTATTTGAATGTAAACATGCGGTCATCTGCTATTGTTCAATTCTTCTTCCTGGGGAGAGCGTAAACATGAGGGAAACATGAAGAGACTAAAATACTAAAACTTCAAATACTTTTTTTTTTTCTCTCTTTTTCTGTTTTACCTGTTTTTTATATTATGATTCAAGATTATGGAGATATTAGATGATTAGGAAATGCAAAAATGTAAACTAAAATGCTGATACCTTTTTTCTGATTATTTACGCTGGACTGTCATAAGAATATTGATGGAAATGAAAATTATCAACCTACAGAGAACTGAATTTAAAGACATCCCAAAAATCAAAGTGAAAAAATGATGCAGCAGGCTAGTCCATTTTACTGAAATTTAATTGCAGCAATTCAAAATGGTACTCAGTAGTTTGTATGGCCCCCATGTGCTTGTATGCATTCCTGACAATGTCGGGGCATGCTCCTAATGAGACGGCGGATGGTGTCCTGGGGTATTTCCTCCCAGATCTGGACCTGGGAGTCACTGAGCTCCTGGACTGTCTGAGGTGCAACCTGGCGATGTTGGATGGACCAAAACATGATATCCCAGAGGTGTTCTATTGGATTTGGGTCAGGTGAGCATGGGGGCCATTCAATGGTATCAATTCCTTCATCCTCCAGGAACTGCCTGCATTCTCTCACCATATAAGGCTGGGCATTGTCATGCACCAGGAGGAACCCAGGACCCACTGCACCAGTGTGGGGTCTGACAATGGCTCCAAGGATTTTATCCCAATACCTAATGGCAGTCAGGGTGCCTTTTTGGTTTCTAAACAAAGGGTCAATTCAGCCTTTAGGGGGGCCGGACTGTGGCCAGTGGGAGTAGAAATTTGTCCTGGCCTTAGTGGGAGTAAATGGTGTTCCATTTTTAGTATTAGGAGGAGGAATAGTGCCCCATCTTTGACATCAGTACAATGATTAGTGCTCAATTAATGGTGTCAGTGGGAGGAATAGTGCCCCATCTTTGGTATCAGAGGAAGGGATAGTGCCCCATTATTGGTGTCAGTGGGAGAAACAGTGCCCCATTATTGGTGTCAGTGGAAGGAATAGTGCCCCATCATTGGTGTCAGTGCAGGACTTATTGCTCTACTTTTGGTGTCAGTTGGAGGAAAAGTGACTCCTATCAGTGGTGCCTGAAGGGCCAGATAAAAGTAAGCAAAGGGCTGCATCTGTCCCCCGGGCTCCAGTTTGGAGACCACTGGTCTAGCCTATAGAGGTCTGTGTGTCCCTCCATGGATATGCCTCCCCAGACCAACACTGACTCGCTCACCGAAACAGTCATGCTGAACTATGTTACAGGCAGCATAATGCACTCCATAGCTTCTCCAGACCCTTTCACATCTGTCATGGTCAGGTTGAACCTGCTCTCATCTGTGAGAAGCACAGGGCGCAAGTGGCAGACCTGCCAATTCTGGTTTACATTGGCAAATGCCAATCAAGCTCTATGGTGCCGGGCAGTGAGTGCAGGGCCCACTAGAGGACTTCGGGCCCTCAGGCTACCCTCATGAAGTCTGTTTCTGATTGTTTGGTCAGAGACATTCACACCAGTGGCCTGCTGGAGGTCATTTTGTAGCACTCTGGCAATGCTCATTCTGTTCCTCCTTGCACAAAGCACCAGATACTGTTCCTGCTGATGGGTTAAAGACCTTATATGGCCCTGTCCAGCTCTCCTAGAGTAACTGCCTGTCTCCTGGAATATCCTCCATGCTCTTGAGACTGTGCTGGGAGACACAGCAAACCTTCTGGCAATGGGGGGGGGTTGTGTGTGTGTGTGTGTGTGTATATATGTGTATGTGTGTATATATATATATATATATATATATATATATATATATATATATATATACACAGTGGGGATCGAAAGTTTGGGCACCCCAGCTAAAAATTTGTATTAATGTGCATAAAAAAGCCAAGGAAAGATGGAAAAATCTCCAAAAGGCATCAAATTACAGATTAGGCATTCTTATAATATGTCAACAAAAGTTAGATTTTATTTCCATCATTTACACTTTCAAAATAACAGAAAACAAAAAATGGCATCTGCAAAAGTTTGGGCACCCTGCAGAGTTAATATCTTGTACTGCCCCCTTTGGCAAGTATCACAGCTTGTAAACGCTTTTTGTAGCCAGCCAAGAGTCTTTCAAATCTTGTTTGAGGTATCTTTGCCCATTCTTCCTTACAAAAGTCTTCCAGTTCTTTGAGATTTCTGGGCTGTCTGTCACGCACTGCTCTTTTAAGGTCTATCCATAGATTTTCAATTATGTTGAGGTCAGGAGATTGTGAAGGCCATGGCAAAACCTTCAGTTTACGCCTCTTGATGTAATCCCCCGTGGATTTTTAGGTGTGTTTAGGATCATTATCCATTTGTAGAAGCCATCCTCTCTTTAACTTAAGCTTTTTCACAGATAGCATCAAGTTACCATCCAAAATTTGCTGAAATTTTATTGAATCCATTTTTCCTTCTACTCGTGAGATGTTCCCTGTGCCACTGGCTGCAACACAACTTCAAAGCATGATTGATCCAACCCCATGCTTAACAGTTGGACAGAGGTTCTTTTCATTAAATTCTGTGCCCCTTCTTCTCCAAACGTACCTTTGCTCATCCCGGCCAAAAAGTTCAATTTTAACCTCTTTGGTCCACAGAACTTGTTTCCCAAAATGCATCAGGCTTGTCTATATGTTCATTAGCAAAGTTCAAACGATGATTTTTTGTGGTGAGGGCGTAGAAGAGGTTTTCTTCTGATGACTCTTCCATGAAGACCATATTTGTACAAGTATCTCTTTATAGTGGAATAGTGTACCACAACTCCAGTGTCTGCCAGATCTTTCTGGAGGGATCGTGCAGTCAAACGTGGGTTTTGAATTGTTTTTCTCACAATCCTGCGAGCTGTTCTGCCTGATATTTTTCTTGGTCTTCCAGATGTTGCTTTAACTTCCACTGTTCCTGATGACTGCCATTTCTTAATTACATTCCGAACAGAGGATATTGACATCTGAAAACGCTTTGCTATCTTCTTATAGCCTTCTCCAGCTTTGTGAGCGTCAACTATTTTCAGTTTCAGTTTTCTAGACAACTGCTTAGAAGAACCCATGGTGCTGATTGTTGGGGCAAGGTCAGATGAGTCTGGGCATTTAAAACCTTTGAGATTGACATCACCTGGTCTTCCCAGACGATGATTGAGAACAATCCTTGACACTGGCAGGTCTCAGCTTGGCAAAGGGGGCAGTGCATGCTATAAATTCTGCAGGGTGCCCAAACTTTTGCAGACGCCATTTTTTTGTTTTCTGTTATTTTGAAAGTGTAAATGATGGAAATAAAATCTAACTTTTGTTGACCTATTATAAGAATGTCTAATCTGTAATTTGATGCCTTTTGGAGATTTTTCCATCTTTCCTTGGCTTCTTTATGCACATTAATCCAAATTTTTAGCTGGGGTGCCCAAACTTTCGATCCCCACTGTGTGTGTGTGTGTGTATATATATATATATATATATATATATATATATATATATATATATATATATATATATATATATATATATATATATATATATATATATATATATATATATTGTATGTAACATCCTGGATAAGTTGGACTGCCTGTGCAACCTCTGTAGGGTCAAGGTATCGCCTCATGCTACCAGTGACAATGACCCTGGCCGAATGCAAATCTAGTGAAAAACAGAAAAGATGAGCAGGGAAAAAATGTCAGTGGCCTCCAGCCTGTAAAACCTGTTTTGGGGGTCATCTCATTGTTGTCCATCTAGGGCATCTGTTGTAAATTTCATTAACACCAAAGCAGCTGAAACATATTAACAACCGCCTCTGCTACTTAACTGACCAGATCAATATCTCAGGAGTTTAATTGACTTGATGCTATACTCTGATTAAAAAGTGTTCCTTTTTTAATTTTTTTGGTGTGTGTGTTTAAAGCTTTAGTTAATGTCATAGAATGTATATTATAGAAAACTGGAATCATGATGTTTTAACAGAGTACATTTTTAACAAGTACAATAATTGGGTTGGCAGCAGCCAGTGTCTCCTTTTATGATCTTTAGTAGCCTTACACAGTGACTTGTCACAACCTTTCACACACTTCAGCTCACTGTAGCAAAGGGTGTGAAGTGTCCTTTGTGTTCTAATGTCATCATTTAGAGAGCTGCATGCCAAGTATTCAGCCATAACCTGACACATCATAAAGCTGGTCATACACTGTGAGTGAATATCAGCCGCTTCCTAAGAAAAGAAGAAAGTGGACAACGTTTTGGGTGGCCATGTTGAACATGGAGTATTGGAGAAAGTGTCAATCATCTAGGAGTAGGGGAGTAGGAGTCATCCCACGTGACATTGAACCAGGCCAAAGACTGTCAACCAAACGTTAATAACCTTTTTAAAATCCTTACCATTTAGGGAAAAAGTCTGATTGAATTTTCATGGCCTAATCTCTATAATTCATAAGATAACAGCATCTGCTCTGCCAAGGAGGAGGCGTAACAGTAGGGATTCTCTCCATGTTGAATGTGTCTGAGAGTCTTTTGGTCCATCCACCACTGCAAGTGGGGCTGAATTACATCACCGCTTCCTGGAGAAAGAACTACAGAAGGAATGTGCCAAGACCAGTGGCTGGAGGAATAGGAGGCATAGCAGCCACTGGTCTTACAAACAGAAAACCAAAGAGAATTAACTGTTTGATTTGAAAATGAATAGGATATTTCAGAGCAACTACTGAGTGAACCAGATGATGATGACACATTCAGTGAAGATAGGAAATCAGCAACACAGACATTTAAAGAACTTCTGCTTTAAATAAAATCTCTAAATTAGAAGATGTGAGTTTAGGCAATTCTTTTATATTAAGTGTCATGTAATTGTGGGGGGCATGGCAGAGGGGTGTGTCCCTTTTTTTACATACTTTGTGCTAAAGGTGTCCCTCTGTCATTGGACAGTTGGAAGATATAATGTAAGCTATTAACTAAAGAGCACTTGAGGAATGACAGTTGGAATCAATCCACTTTGGTTAACAATATCTTTTTTTTTTTTTTTTTTTTTTTCCCCCCCCCCACAATAGCTGGCCCCTACACATCCATAAAGCAGGAGCACGAATTCAAAGGTTTCGGGACATTACTGAAACAGAAGAAATTTTATAATTAACTTGTTGGAACTTTTTTTCTGGCACATCGGTGATCTCCAAACTGTGGCCCTTTTTGCTTGCCTTTAATTGGCACTTGGGGTACTATTTCATCCACTGATACCAAAAATGGGGCACTAGTCTTCCCACTGACACCGATGGGGCACAATTTCATCTTTTGGCACCAATGATGAGGTACAAGTCTTTCCATTGACTAGGCACTATTCCTCCAACTGAAATCAATGATGGGACAGCATTCCCTCCATTACACCAATGATGGAGTACTAGTCCTCCTACTGACACCAAAGATAGGGAATTGTTTACTCCCACTGGATGCCAGGATGTCTTCTACTCCCACTGCCCCCCCCCCCCCTAAAGTCTGAAGGACTGTAAACTGGCCTTTGTATAGGAAGTTTTGAGACCCCTGATGTACATTGAGGACTTTATCTAATATTCAGGATAAGCTATGTTTGAGTCCTTGCTTGAGTGAAACTGTGGACTTTGCTTAAGGCCATAGCAACAGTAGTAGCAGTAAATTCTTTAGAGCCCCACAGCAGTGTCCCTTTTTAAGGAATAGGTCAGATGGACAAAGCTCTTCAGAACACCAGCTGATGTTCCCTTTGCAAGACCCACAGCTGACTTCCTAGCACAAGAGGGGGTTAAACAGCACTAAGTCAAGAAGATCCTTTAGGGATATCTGTACTCAAAAGGCCCAAGAGCAGCTGGATGCATTCCTCCGTGATACAAGGCCAGATCTTCAGTAGACAGCCCCTTGGTCAACATAGCAGAACCCAGGTCTCGGCGTTCAGGCCCTCAGGTTGCCCACCTGAGGCTGCATGGCAGCAGATGCCTAGAGGTCAATGTGCCCTCTCCCAGGCTGGAACAATTCTGTACAGGAAAGACTCAGAGCTCTCTGTGCTTTATTCAATATATACAGTTTCCAGCATACCTTAGAGCCCCCTCTCTCTGGGATAGACTGAGACTGTATCAATATTCATGCTCCCATCCTGATAACACCACACCTATCATCCAGAAACTTTTTCTGGATACATAGGAGCTAAATGATCGGCCTAATATATATAAGTGAAAGCGGAGTTCCACTCACGTTGTTAAAAAAGAAGTCAGCAGCTACAAAAACTGTAGCTGCTGACTTCTAAAAAACAGCCACTTACCTGTCCCTTGGTACTGTGGTGTGTCCCCCGCAGCCCGTTTCACCAGCCGTCCTGTATTCCAGGAGGCCGGCATCTTCAGTGTGGGCACTCGGCTGTGACAGCTTGCAGCTTCACAGCTGGGTACCCACTGCGCATGCATGAGTAGCGCTGCTCTTCATGAATGATCCTGTAGTCTTTTGGGACCTGTCACGTGTCCCAAAAGACTACAGGGAGGGAGGACACTTTCCGTTTCTGATCATCTGGGCGATCAGACCAGAAGGGGGAGCGGGTAACTGTCAAATTCAGGTACGCGCTCTTGGCCCCCAAAGGTTCCAATCCTTAATGGGGAGCAGTCCTTAAAGCGGACCTTCCCCTTTTGGGTGGAGCTCCGCTTTAACCCTTTCTGGGGAGGATGCTACATCAGCATATATCAGAGCTTTAATAATAAAATAAAGTGCTTGTGAGCCACTAGGATCTAATGTGATTGTGAAATTATATCATTTATAATGCTATGGTTCACTGACATTGATACACACACTCATATAATGTGTAATCTATAACCAAAAATGAAAGTGCAATTGTGTCGCGCTCCGCGAAATAATGATTAGAATTACTAAAATTGCTTAGTTAATCGTAAATTAAATACCAATGTTATTGTGATTTAACCCAAAGAAACATTCAACAAAAGATAAATAATGTATTAAATATACTATTAATATATATAGTGATAGTCCCAAAGTCAATTCATATATTCCAACAAGTGCTTTTTCTTGCAAACGTGCCCTCCGAATTTGAATATCAACATGCGCTCACCTCAATGGAAGCCTAATTTGCGATTAGGCAACTATAGCTTTGTATTATATAATAGGATTGATCTTCTCTGTGTTGTGATATACAGGCTGATTAGATGTAATTCTGTATCTCATCCACCAGGGTTTTCTTAATGGTCTCCTCCCTTAGTACAGATTAGGTGGCATGGATCTCTCCCTCCTATCTCCTGCAGGATAAAGATCTATCTTTCCATCTCTCCGTTTTCTCCTATCTCTCCACTGGGTGAATATATGGAAGAAAAAGAAATATAGTGCCTTATCCTTGAAACAACTTTTATTTGCAATCAGTATTCTATACACTCACAATGTCAATAAAATCAAGCTTTATACAGCCTCCTCTGTGTGTGCTGAACACACAGCCTATACTCGCCGCTGTGATCTCGAGTGTGTGGTGATGTCAGAGCCCTTCCCCCTACACGTTGCACCACCGGGTCATGTGATTGCTGGTCTCTCACACTTAGAGTCATCGGGGGACAGATGTAGCATCGGAACGATGCTGCATTCACCTAGGTCAGGGTAGGCAACCTGCGGCTCTCCAGCTGTTGCAGGACTACAAGTTCCATCATGCCTCTGCAAGTCATAGCTGTAACTGTCAGTTTTGTAATGTTGCAATGCCTCATGGGAAATGTATTTCCACAACAGCTAGAGAGCCACAGGTTTCCTACCCCTGAATTCCTAGGTAAATATATTTGGAGGAAAAACAATTGACATATTTTGCAAGGGGGGGGGGGTGCATGTATTACTTTTTTTGTTCATAGGAATCTGCAAAGCATTGCGGGTGCAATGCCTGGCTCCTGCAGATTCTTCCTCCAGCTCTCTGGATTTAAGCTGGAGTATTGGAGAAAGTGTCAATCATCTAGGAGTAGGGGTTGTAGTTTACTAATTCACAGGCCCTGCACAGCCAGGGGAAGCAAACTCCCTGTCCCGAGGAAAGCAATGTGAGGGTGTAGGGCCCTATTTGCATCATATTACACTTGAAATATGGGTGTAATATGGTGCAAAAGATGGCGTTCTCCTTTAAATCTTCAGATAATTGAGAGCATATGCCAGTTTTACAAAGAATAGTGTGCTGTACTCTGGATACATGCTAAGAATACATCATGTGTATTAATTGTTTGTTTTTCCTCCACAGAAGTGTCCCTTTACCCCTGAACAAAGACATGAAATTAAAAAAATCATGAAGGAATGTAAAGAGGAAAGCTTTTGGTACAGAGGTAATTTTACAAACCTGTGATTCTAGGACTCTTTAAATGCATAATTGCCAATTAACAATTAAGTTCATCAACAACCTCAATGGTCAGATCAACCAAAGGTAATATTTCAGTTACTGGCAGTTAAAGTATAACTAAAGTCAAATCAAAAAACCGTTACATTCCTGGAATGCTGGGATTGCTACCTGTCACATTTGCTTGTGTCCTCAACCAAACTGTCATCAAGTGGTTGGTGTCATAACTGATCACGTGCAGCACCATGCTAGTTGTACATCAAACAGAAGCAGCATCCAGCTGACCTTTTTGATCAGCGGGATGCTGGCTTGAAAGTGATGCAGCAGATCCATAGCGTGGTGCCCTCACAACCCCTAATGTTTCCATAAAGAGTACCTGTCACCTGCCTAATGCTATCACATAGGAGTTTATTAGCCCCTTGTGATGGCAATCAAGTAATAATAAATAATTTAAAAAGTTTAAAAAACTTGAAATATATTTAAAATTTAAAAACAATTGCCATAACCCCCAATTGCCCCTCACACCTGCGCAAACGCAAGCCCAGCGTGTGCATGCTTGTGTAAACTGTGGTCACACCACATGTGTGCACACCACATGTGTGACGTATCGCCACGTATGTCAGAGTGAGAACAATACTTCTAGCACAAGATCTCCTAGTTAACGTCACCTATGGTGATTTTTTTTTTTTTTGGGCACTGTAGATTTTGGTGACATCGCAGGTGCATGCAATTTTATGACATGGAATGTTTGGTATCAACTTGGTGCAACCTCATAAATTATATATATTTCTCAAAATGTTTTTTATTTTTCCAAAGACATTGCAGAGAAATGACAAGGTAACAGGGATGCATTGTCTGTATTCTACAGCATTCAAGAGGAGTGTATTGGTTCTCAATTCAGGCACATGGCACAGATGTTCTCTGGGATATTCTACCAAAATCAGGGCATGAAATGTGCTGCATTTCTATTAAATCAGAATAAGCCAGTACAATACATTACGCAATCTTACATAGATAAGTGAAAAGAAATTCAACAAGACTATTCAGAACAGATCTAAAAACCGACTGGGGGTGGGGTGAGTACAGTAATAACCTGCAATAGGATATTAAATCGGGGTGAAAGTTATCTCCTCTTTTATATTTTAACCAAAATGGGTATCCTATTGTGTGTTTGCACTAAAATTTTATTTTTTATTAGATTTTTTTTTTTTTTTCTGAAAACCTTGTGTTTTAATAAACCGTTGCACAAAAATCATGTGACATAAAGATTTGCAACTATCCTCTTTTTATTCTACAGGGTCTCTGCTTTCAGAAAATTTATATATTGTTTGATTTAAGTTATTTTTTTATCTTAAGTTATTTTGATCTTTTGCCAAACTGGTTAAGGCTGTCAGCAGATCTACAAATTCTACACTGCCTGAAAATGGAGAGCAACTGAGCAGAGCAGGATGAGATAGTGTATTACTGGATTTTAAATGGCATAGGCACTTATTATTAATGTTTTACATTGATATACCTGCAAAAGGGGCCAGCCTGAAGTGATCTAGCAGGACTTAATTTTCTGACTAAAGTTCCACTTTTAAAGTGTTACTAAACCCAGGACCCTGCATTCACTATATCTGGTCTCCCACAGTACACAGAACATGGAAATGTAATTTTAGTAAATATAAACTGCTGAAAATAAAAAAATTCCCATCAGCAGTATATAACAATCTTGTAACTTCTATCAGTGTCTAGCTGAGCACTGGTTATAGCTTGTAGGAAGAGTTTCATTCTGTTCTGACTGTCCTGTGAAGCTGCGTAACCCCTGACCCTCTGTCTGGGAAGTGCTGATTGGCCTGAACACATGCACCCTCCCAAAGGAGAAAAGAGCTCTCTAGCCATACACACTAAACTGAGCATGTGCTAAGTCACTCCTAGAGTTCTGTACTATCAGCAGATGGATTGGGGACAGCAGGAAAAGGGGAGGATCAGAGAAGACAGGATCAAACAACCTTTTTACACCATGTGGAGGATTAACCCCTTAGGTTCCACAGTGCGTATAACAAGCATGCTTTACTGCATATGCAGACTGATTTTACAGACTTATTTACTGTTGTGGGTTTAGTAATACTAAGTTTTGGATAGCGTGGAGAGGGATTAGAACACTTGTCACACTTTTATGGCTCTCTGTGTCACCATTAAGGAGATTCACCCTTCTATTTTGTCTTGTTTACCATTCTCACCAAAAGTGAAAGATAACCCAAAATTTTTGGTTATCACCAGTGCAGGAATAGATGGGAAATCTTCCTTTTGGGGGACACTAGTTCTCATGAAAACTCACTTTGGAGGGATTTTTCCTCTCACTTTGGGACACAGTTGGCAAAAATAAAATTCATAGGGATTATAACCACCCCTTCCTTTTATCAGAAACAAGGGGGAAAAGAGAGTTTGTTGTGTGTTTTTTTTTTTTTTTTTTTTTTTTTTAGTCCTAATTTAATTACTTGAAGGGGCTTATTTGTGGCTGTTACATTTTCTCCTTTTTCTCAAATAACTAGGCAAAGTTTACAAAAAAAATAAAAAATCTAACCATTCTTGCCAGACCCACTGGTAGGGGTCAGGTGATCAGCCTGACTGTGGAGTATATGTCGTACTGGTGTGAGTGCCTGATTATTCATGTGGCTATTTAATAATTTGTTTGTTTTTTCTTAACAGCTCTGCCTCTGTCTCTTGGTAGCATGCTTGCCACTCAGGGCCTCGTTTACAAAGGTCAGTAAATCATGTGCAATGAAACACCATCATTGTACTTGGATCCATCACATATTCTTAAAGTGGAATTTGCACTGCATCTGAGCACCACAAACCAAAAATGCTATATAATTTTAATTTTTATATTCCGAGTAAATTCCTCCATCAATCCATGTCTCTATGCTTTACTTTGCTGAGAAATCATTTTGAAAAACACCTCCTGGCATTGGCCAACTTGAGTAAAGGCAGATGATTCATGTAGCAGTTGCTTCCTGGAATCCATCTGCCATTAGCTCAGGCATTGGCTGAGCTAAGAACCCTCCCTCCCCTCATGAAGACTCCTGGGATGTATGGCATCATTTTTGCCAAGGCACAGAAACCAGGAAATAAATGAAGAAAAGCAAAAAAAAGGTTAAAACAAGTAAATATGCAATTCTTGCATGTTTCCACAATGTTTGTGTTTTTTTTTTTTTGTGTTTTTTTTTTTTTTTTTTTTTCTCTGTGTTATCAGCTCTGCTAGACCACAGAACATATCCCCCTTATGTTACAGAGGTGAGAAGGAAGGAGTGAGGTATTCACTTGGGGTTTGATTTTTTTTTTTTTTTTAAAGCATTTGGATAGCCATTTGACCAGTGAATGTTCATATATGTTCATTTTGTGTGAATGGGGCAAAGAATGAATGAAAATAGGACTATATCCTATGCTGTTCAAATGTAAAGTGAATTTAAAACAGAAAATACTGCATTTGGCCATTAGATGGAGCTAAGTACTATAAGAAATTCCTATGATTCATAGCCCCAGCTTGTGGCCTAATGTGGTATTTTCAGCTTTTAAACCAACGATTTACATTCCAACAGCACAGGCTGTAGCATGTTGACAATCTTTTTTCCGTATTGATACATTCATACATATACATGCGCTTTCACTGGTTGAATGGCTATGCATTATTTAATTTTTTTTATCAACCCCTTGTTAATATTTGCCATATTTAGTTATTTTAGGCTGAAACATTTTTACTTTCAGGTCTGATAAAGTTAGAATATTTAGCATTTGAATACCGCCATGCATCACATCAGCTGAAGAAATTCTCCCTGTTTGATGTTGCTGCATTTATCCACGCGTCAATTCTTCATTGTGTGCTAGTCGTGTCTGCATAGTGAGCCCCCACAGGCTTGTATTAGGCTGTACTCTGAGATCAGCAATGGCCTCCACACTTCTTTAAGGTGGAACTTCACCCAAAAGAGGAAGATCTGCCTAAAGTCCCCATTTTTACGTATTTTTTGGGGGGGTGGGTACCTAGATTTACAGGTACCTACACCCACTTCTAGCCCCCCCCGGGCCAGATTGAAAGCATCATGGGCCTACTGCCAAGGATTTTGTTAGGCCCTTTTAATGGTAATAAGTGAAATGAAACGTCAAACAAGTTTTGTTAAAACAAATTAAATATTAAGACAAGTTAAATGGGGGGGGGGGGATGAGAGGTGGAGGGTCCACCTCCCAGGTTCTCTCAGAACATCACTGGAGATCAGCGAGGGGGGGGGGGGGGGGGGAGGATCGGCGTGAAGAACTGAGTGAGAGTGCAGAAGACTGCTGGGGGGAGATAGAAAGAACATTCATAGTTTCTAAATGCATCATGGCAGTGTCAAATTTTTTTTCTAAATTTTCAGTGGTTTTTGGTTTAAGAAAAAATAAAAAACCCAGAGGTGATTAAATACCACCAAAATAAAGCTCTATCTGTCACAAAAAAAGATAAAAATTTCATGTAGGTACAGTGTTGCATGACAGCGCAACAGTGCTGAAAGCTGGAAATTGGCCTGGGCGGGAAGGGGGTATAAGTGCCCTGTAGGCTTGTGGTTAAGTCAGCAGCTACAGAATTTACAGCTGTTGACTTTTTTTTTTTTTCTAGAACTGCTTTTGGCAAAAAGTGATTTCTGGATTTTTTTTTTTTTTTTTTTCCTTATAGGATATCTGTCGGCAAACAAAAGGTTTGGATCCTTGCCAAAAGTTGCTTGTAAGTATACAACTACATGCAGATTTCAATTTCTAATTACAGCTTCCTCTGCTGTCACTCTGGCCTCTGCTCTTCTGCTCAGAGAGTTCCACCCAATGTTGCGGGCTCTCGCTATTTGAATGGCCAAGATATGATGACGTCGCTCCCACACATGGGAGCCACGGCTGCGGCACAACTCTCTGAATGGATGGCACGCCAGCTGCAGACGTAGGGAATATCGCCTAAATGGTGCACGTTTAGGAGATATGTTCCTTGTACCCACAGGTAAGCTTTATTATAAGCTTACCTGGAAGTACAGGTGAGCGAGCAGTGTTTACTAACACCTTAAGAAAAATGTAAAGCTTAAATAACATTGGGAACATTACTTCTATCCAAAGTGTCCTTGTTCTGCTGGCTCCCACATTAGTTGAAATCCTCCTCCAATCCACCCCCATCTCTGCCACTGTAGTCTTCCGGTTACTAAAGCCAACTAACTTGCGACAGGCATTTATCAAGAGTACTGACTCTGCCCATTCTTTCAGCCCCATTCCTCCATTCATTGAAACCGTACTATAGTTCCTATAAATAAGTGCTCTATGAATGGAGGATATGGACCTTTCATTCATCAGTCTGTCCCACATTCATAGATCATTTTTCATTCATAGAAGCTGTAGCGCAACTTCCATGAATGAAGGGGGGAGGTGGAAAAGGGTAGGGCATAGCCAACACAAGATGAGTGCCTGTCTCAGGTCTGTCAAGTCTATCAACCCCTGCTGCATCAGATGATTACAGCGGTGGGGGTAGGATTGGAGGAGGAAGATTTCAACTAATGCAGGAGCCAGCAGTGCAAGGGACAATCAGATTGAAAGTAAGTACTGTTCCTCATTCTGACTTTTTTAGTGAAAAAATTAAATAGTTTTAATAACAAAATAATTGCAATTGGTATTTTTTATGTACCTGGAGTTCAGCTTTAAGATTTAATTCTCAGATTATTATTATTAGAGATGAGCGAATCGAACTTGGCGAAGTGGAATTCGTTTCGAATATTAGGAAAAATTCGTTTCGCACCGAATCCGAATTTTAGCAAACTTCGGATGCACGAATCGAATTTTCCCCGATCAGCCGGCAAAAAGTGTCACTGCAGAGAGCTCCGCTATTTCTGACAGTTCTCTGACTGTTCCTTCACATTTACAGCGGTTGAAACATTGTATCTATTTGTTTCCATTTAGGATACAGATGTTTTTATTCGGAAACAAATAGATACAATGTTTCAACTGCTGTAAATGTGAAGGAACTGTCAGAAATAGCGGCGCTCTCTGCAGATACACTTTTTGCTGTACTGGAATTCTTCTTTTTCTTCCTTTTCTTCCTTTTCTTCTTTTTCTTCCTTTTCTTCCTTTTCTTCCTTTTCTTCCTTTTCTTCTTTTTCTTCTTTTTCTTCTTCCCCCCGTGACTGCCCAAATGAGTGAAGTGTGCGGTGATTCTAAGATCGACGGCACTCATCTGCATGTCATACTGACTGACAGTATTATTTCTCTTCCCCAGCAGACTCCAAGGGCATTTAAATTAAAGGTACAGTGTTCTGCACTAATATAAAGGCTCTCTGAAGCCTAGAAACCCTTTTAATAAGTTAAATTCGCAGCGAATAAATTCGCATCGAATCGAATTTCTCCCGCAAATTCGGCGAATCAGCCGAATCGAATTTTTGAATAATTCGCTCATCTCTAATTATTATACAAGATTTATATAGCGCCAACAGTTTGCTCAACGATTTACAGTATAACGGGAGATAATACAGCAACAATTACAGTTCCTAACAATCTAGGAGTTGCACAGTATTCCAAAATTTAAGAATTTTCAGTGGTCAACTAATATCAGTTTAGACATTGGGGTTGATTTACTAAAACAGGAGAGTGAAAAATCTGGTGCAGCTGTGCACAGAAACCAATCGGCTTCCAGTTTCTATTGCCAAAGCTTTACTGAACAAGCTGAAGTTAGAAGCCAATTGGCTTCCATGCACAGCGGCACCAGATTTTGCACTCTCCGGTTTCAATAAATCTATGCCATTGATCTGAGATGGTAGAGGCTATCTGACCACATTTGTTGGTGATCTTGGGAGCTGGACTTGGACACAGTGGGGGAGATTTACTAAAGCTGATTCACTCAGAATCTCGTGCACCCATGCATGGTAGCCAGTCTGCTTCTGACCTCAGCTTGTTTAATCACGCTTTAGCAATAAAACCTGGAAGCTCATTGGTTTCCATGCAAAAGTGCACAAGATTCTGAGTGAACCAGCTTTAGTAAATAAACCCCTGTATGGCTCATGTGTTATGACCAAATCTCTGAAAAAGATATTACTTCCTGACATTCTTGTGCAGGGGTCTCCAAACTTTCTAGACAAAGGGCCAGTTTACTTTCCTTCAGACTTTAGGGGGTCCGGACTGTGGCCTTAGGGAGTAGAAAGGGTCCCAATGTCGGTGAGGAAAAACCATGCCCCATTGTTAGGGGTTAGTGGGAGGAATTGCGCCCCATTGTGGGTGTCACTGAGAGCAATTGTGCCCCATCAGTGGGGCCATTGGGCCCTATTGTTGGTGTCATAGGATGAAATTATGCCCCATTGTTTGTATCAGTGGATGGAATAGGCCCCAAGGGCTTGACAAAAGCAAGCAAAGGGCCACATCTGGCCCTTAGGCCACAGCTTAGAGACCACTGCTCTAGTGTAATGTCCAGTTCACCTTCTGTTTGGGCACATTCAGGTCCACATGAAATAGAACATGTTATAGAGGACTTAATGGTAATATGATGAATTGTCGCCCTTATGAACAGTGGCGGGTGTCCTGGGTTTCGCAGTTGGAAAGATTTCATACATTAGCGCTTGCCAGAAAAAGTTTCAAAACACCGGTATGGATAATATGTTTCAAGCTGGTTTTGTTCCTGGCATCGGATGTGGATTTGGTCCCCAATTTTTTGGAAAAACGTCACAAGTAAGTGTCATATTCTTATCTTCTATGGTCAAAAGATATAACCTATACTTAATGTAAAAGAAAAATACAGGAATTAAAACAGAAGCATTTACTTTCTCCAGGGAACGTTGCAAAGTGCACAGAACCCCTACAGGCCAGAGGACTGACTTGCCTGTACAGGCTGCACTGGGGAGGAGGTGATGTCTCCAGAGTTCAGTGGGAAAAGAACCCAGAAACTCCAGACTCTGCCTCTCCTCCTGTCTGCATGTCCCTGAAAAGGTGACCTGGGAAGCAGTGGTGGAGTATGTAGTGCCAGTTATCTGGGGGAAGGGGCAGCTGGCTGGCAATAAGGTGCAGTGCGTGGAGAATGGGCTTCCTCCATGTGTGTTTCCCATACCATTTTTTTTTTTTCGTGAACTATTAAACTCCCATCTTCTTAGATATCCACTGCTTTAGGGCCCTTTCATATGAACATTCAGTCTGCATCCATCTGTCAGATTTTCATACACCTCTGGACTGAACCACAGTGTAAGTCTGGGCAGACAGAAGTTTACATACTTCCTCTTACATTTAGAGTCTGTTTTGTCTGCAAAAAAAAGATAAGATTTTCACTCCGCTTTATTTTTGCGGACATAAACATTTCTAGGGCTGGTTCACACCAGGAATCGCACTAAACACACTCCACATTCCTGTTCAGTGCAGTGAGATTTACAGTTGCAAGAAAAAAGTATGTGAACCCCTTGGGATTACGTGGAGTGTTGCATGAATTGGGCATAAAATGTGCTCTGAACGTCATCTAAGTCACAACAATAGAAGAACACAGTCTGCTGAACATAATACTACACAAAACATTAGATGTTGCCATGGTGTAATTGCAAATAACATGTAAACATTCACAGTGCAGGGAGGAAAAAGTATGTGAACCTTTGGACTTAATAACTGTTTGACCCTCCTTTTGGCAGCTATAACCTCAACCAAACGTTTCCTGTAGTTGTAGATCAGACCTGCACAACGATCTGGAGTAATTTTGGACCACTCCTTTTCACAAAAACTGTTTCAGTGTAGCAATATTCTTGGGACGTCTGGTGTGAATCGCTCTTTTAAGGTCATTCCACAGCATTTCAATCGGGTTGAGGTCAGGACTCTGGGTTACTCCAGAAGGTGTATTCTGTGCTGTTGCAGCCATTGTTTTGTTGAATTACTTGTATGCTTTGGGTCATTGTCCTGTTGCATCACCCATCCTCTGAGGAGCTTCAGTTGGCGGACAGTTGGTCGTACGTTTTCCTGCAAAAACGTCATGATAAACTCTGGAATTAATTTTCCCATCAATGACAACAATCCGTCCAGGCCCTGAGGCAGAAAAGCAGCCCCAAACCATGATGCTCCCTCCGCCATGTTTTACAGTGGGGATGAGGTTTTGATGTTGGTGTGCTGTGCCTTTTTTTTTTTTTTTTTTTTTTTTTTTCCACACATAGTGTTGTGTGTTCTTCCCAAACAACTCAATCTTGGTTTCATCTGTCCACAGTATATTTTGCCAGTAGTGCTGTGGAACATCCAGGTGCTCTTCTGCAAACTTCAAACGTGCTGCAATATTCTTTTTGGACAGCAATGGCTTCCTCCGTGGTGTCCTCCCATGTACTCCATTCTTGTTTAATGTTTTCCTTATTGTAGATGTGTCAACAAAAATGTTAGCATGTGCCAGAGATTTCTGTAGGTCTTTAGCTCACACTCTGGGATTCTTCTTTACCTCATGCAGCATTCTGCGTTGCGCTCCTGCAGTCATTTTTACAGGACGACCGCGCCTAGGGAGAGTAGCAACAGTGCTAAACTTTCTCCATTTGTAGACAGTCTGTCTTACCCGTGGACACATGAACATCAAGGCTTTTGGAGATACTTTTGTAACCCTTTCCAGTTTCATGCAAGTCAACAATTCTTGATCGTAGGTCTTCTGAGAGCTCTTTTCTGCGAGCCATGGTTCACATCAGACAGTGCTTCTTGAAACCAGTGAACCCAAAACAGGTGTGTTTTTTTTAAGGGCAGGACAGCTGTCGGCAACACATCCAATATCATCACACTGATTGGAGTCAAGGTTGGCTCACTCCTGGCTCCAATTAGCTCTGGAAGAAGTCATCAAGCTAGGGCCTCACATACTTTTTCCTCCCTGCACTATGAATGTTTACATGTTATGTGCAATTAAACCATGGCAACATCTAATGTTTGTGTAGTATTATGTTCAGCAGACTGTGTTCTTCTATTGTGACTTAGATGACGTTCAGAGCACATTTTATGCCCAATTCATGCAAAACTCCACGAAATCCCAAGGGGTTCACGTACTTTTTCTTGCAACTGTAAGCTCATTCATTTGAAATGGCCTGAATCACACTGGACCGCAGCAAAAATAGTGCATGCACTACTTAAAAAAGGAAAAGAAAAAATTGCACAGTAACTGGATCACATGGTACTGCTGTACCATGAGATTTGGTGCAGGCAAAGGCACTGAATTTGGGGGTGTCATCAACGTAACCACTTGCTTGCGTAAGATTTACCCAACCCCCCTTCATGACCAGGATATATATATATATATATATATATATATAATATAATATAATTTTTTTTAATATAAAGCACTGCGCTACTTTTAACTGCCAATTGCACAGTCATGCAACACTGTACACAAAAAAAATTATATTCCTTTATTCACACAGATATAGATTTCTTTTGGTGGTATTTGATCACCACTGGATTATTTTTTGTGCTATAAATGGAAAAAAAAACACAAACGTAGAGAGGGAAAAAAACATTATTTTTTTTTTTTTTTTTTTTTACTTTTTTCCTATAAAACATATCCAATTAAAAAAAAAAAAAAAAAAAAAAAAAAAAAAACTTGTACATTTAGGCCAAAATGTATTCTGGTGCATGTCTTTGTTAAAAAAAAAAAAAATGCATATATGTGTAAATATTAATCGGTTTACATGAAAGTTATAACGTCTACAAATGTGTGTGTGTGTGTGTGTGTGTGTGTGTGTGTGTGTGTATACTAGAGTTAATTTTTTTTTTCTTTGCTAGTAACGGTGGGGATCAGCAACTTATAGCAGGACTGGGATAGAATGGCGAGCATTCTGACACTGGATAATTGTCACTGACCTCACAAGTGACACTAATACAGTGATCAGCGCTAATAGAATGTACTGACACTGTACTAATGACACTGGGCAGGAAGGGGTTAACATCTGTGGCAATCGAAGGGTTAACTGTGTGCCTAGCACTGGTACATCCCCAACACATATCTCTTCTCCTGTCACTTGCTCCAATGATCGGCGCATCACCGATGTGAATCATTGACCAGGATCTGCTCTATGTCATGGATGGGAGCCAGTGACAGAGCAGGTAGGCAACTGCACCTTATTCTGGTATGACTGGGCCCGAAGGCAAAAGAAAAACAAAACATTTTTTGTTTATACTTTGACCTCCTATGATTTATGTTCTTCAACAACTAGAAAAAAAAAATTGAAAAAAAGGATGTATACTGATATAAACTGAAGACAGATATACAAGCTTAGGCTAGGTTCACATATGAGCGGGCGGTTTTGCAGTGCGATTTCTTAAAGGGTCCAGTTCGGTTTTGTTCAGGTGCGATTTCAATGAAAATTGTTAAACTGTATGAAATCACACCTGAACTGGGCTGAAAGTAGTACCGGACCCATGTGATCAGATTCCACTGTCTCAACAAAAGGCGTGCCGGCACCTTTTTTGTACGGGTGTGGTGCAATTTTTGGCCTTACAAAATTAATGGGCTCAAAACACACTGCAAAGAATCGCATATGATTTGAACAGGAATGTGGTGCGATTCCTGTCCAAACCACACGCGGTTTCCTAAACCTGCTTTTTTAAAAAGGTCTCTTTTAAAGCGGCAGTAAAATAAAAAAATAAAGTAAAAAAAAAAAAAGTTTTCCCCTGCAAGGCAAAGGCATAATGTACTAGTATGCATTGTATACTTAGCACATTATGAAGGACTTGCCTTAAAACGAACTCCTCCAGCGGCACGCTGTCACCGCTGCAGAGGCTTCCATCTTCACTCTGTCTTCCTTCCAGGTTCGCAAGCTGCGGCCACTTAATTGGCTGAGCTACAATGATGTCAATCCTGACGTGCGTGCGGGAGTCTGGGCCATGGAACACAGCTCTGAAGAAATGGCACGGCTATGTCGTTCATTCAGAGCGCATGTGCCGATGTCACCGGCTGCTGCTCGCTAAAATATCTCCTAAACCATGCTTGTTTAGGAGATACTAATTTTACCTACAGGTAAGTTTTATTATAAGCTTACCTGTAAGTTAAAAATAAAAAAAAGTTTACTACCACTTTTAATTATACAGTATGTTTGAAATCTTGGCAAAATATGTTCTAAAGCCATTTAAAAAGTACCGGTACACTTTTATTGTTTAAAAGAATAATCATGCTATAAATTGTCATTTGATTTTAATGTAAAGGAAACTTTCAAACCCTGCTTTCTGAACATTTCTTCCCCTCCCATTGTGCTGTTGTTTTTTTTTGTTTATTTACTGTGATCTTTCTGTTCATCAGGCACTGTCACCACCACTGCGAGGACTGTAAGAAGAAATGTGCCGAGGAATGTAAGAAGAAATGTTCAAAGGAAAAAGAACAGACCGCACAGCCCCCCTCTACCTCCTGAACGCAAGTAAGCTTGCTTCTAAGGACATGACAACTAGAAGCTCTCCTGTCATTCTCTACATACATGCATATGACCCACTGCACTAGGATAGATGAAAAAAATATTTTTATGTAAAGCAAAAGCACCAGGAAATAAGGAATCTCTCCAAATGGAGGCGGGCATATTCCCTCTTATGCTGGCTATACATGGGTCAAATTCTGAACAATTTGTCGATCAAAAATTTTGTGCATTTTCTAACACGATGGTGCCACCATTGATTTTGAAAATCTACCAACCAAGCCTTCAATTTCACCTCCTGTTGTGGCTAGGAATCTCCTTTTTCTTTCCAAGTCACAGTTCATATTAATTTTTTTCCAATTATATTTCTTGCGTGCTTCTCCCATCATTGATTACAAATTTGTTTATTTTTCAAAAAATTTCCAAAATGCCCCATCACTCAAGTTTGATGGCTGCAAACCCAATAATGGTCAAAATTTGAATAAATAAAATTCCGATATTTGAAAGAAAAATTGTTCGGAATTCGTTCCCATGTATAGCCAGACTTGGTAGTCATTGAAATAAGTGTATCCATTTGTTGGAAGATTTTTTTCCCCCCCTCTTTCTGTTCTCTTGGCAGTTCATAATTTTAGAATTTTTTTTTTTTTTTTTTTTTTTTTTTTTTTTTTTTTCCTACCTTTCACTCTTCAGGAGGTTACCAGGTCAAACTGAGAGGGGCAATCAAGTTGGCCGGATTGTTCTGGCAGGAAACACAAATGTAACCCTTTGTAATTTAATTCCTAGATTTCATAAAGACTGGTGCAGAAAGAGTCTGCAAAAGTGTCTTATGTGTTCTAAAAATGGTTATGTGCGCTAAATTTATGTACCCATCTAGAACTTGTACTTGATTTTGGTGCATATTGCAGCACTTTTAGAATGAGACACTTTGCAAAATCTATCGGATTCAGTTTCTCTCTCTCTACGGCAAAAGGGAGTTGTTCTTAATTGGCTCCACTTTCATAAGATATGAATTGTATTTTATTTTGAATTTGGAATATTCCATGCACCACAATGTAGAAGTGGCACATTCAATGTGCCACAATGTAGAAGTGCCATATTGTAGAACTACCTGAATTTGGTGCATGAGTTGCTGTCATACCCAAAAAGTGTCACAGATGCTTCATGAATTTGGCACCCTACATTACCAAGGGGGTTAATGCCAGAAATGTGGTGCAGTAGCTTTTTTTCTGCAAAACTCAATCTCTGAGCAGATGATAAAAACTGGACTTAAGGAAATGGTCAGGCAATGTTCCGATAAAAACAGACAAATTACAACTTTTCATTTCTTTTGAACCGATTTAGAAATTGTAGGTTATCAACTCGCCCCACACTGATGGCAACACTTGCACTTCTCTATTAATTTTTAAAATAGACATTGGAGTTGATCTACTAAAACCAGAGCGTGCCAATTATGATGCTGCTCTGGACAGAAACCAATCGGCTTCCAGTTTGTGGTGTGTGTTTTTTTTTTTTTTTTTTTTTTTTGTTTTGGTCAAAGCTTAATTGAACAAGCTAAATAGAAGCAGATTGCTACCATGCACAGCTGCACCAGATTTTCCACTCTCCAGTTTAGTAAATAAACTCCAGTGTGTGCTCTTCTGCCCTAATATTAAACTTTTGATGAGCAAGGCATATATAGACCGCTACTGCTAACTTCTTCTATAAATACTAGTTGCCTGGCTGTCATGCTGATCTACTGGCTTTAGTACTTATTGATTTGCTGATCCAGAACAAGTATGCAAATCGTAAGTACTGACTTCACTGGCTGGAGGCATATTTGAAGTTGGTGACTCAGAAGATCAGCATAGCAGGTGGGCAGTTGGCATTTTTATGAGGTTAGCAATGGCAGCCTCTCTATTTTGCTTTTTTGCTCAAGTTTCCTTTTGATAGCATTATTTTAAGTGTTAACCCCAAATCAAACATTTTGTTATAGTGCAGCTTACCAATTCTTTGATGTGATGGCTGCATTAGGTTTTAGTTTTTAAGCTTTTCTTTTTTTTCAGTTGGTGTTACTGGCTGTAAGTCTGGTTGATTTTCAACTGGAGCTATCCTAAAGATGTAGCAGTTTCAGGGTTGAGACAAACCATTTACCACTGACAGCAGTGCTTAACCCCTTGACACCGAGCGCACGCAAATATGCGGCCTCTCGGCGTCTGGGCCTTGACACCGAGCGGCCGCATATTGAGCGTGCAATTAAAAAAAAACATTTGTGCTGAGAGCTTGTTTCTCAGCACATATGTCCGTGACTCACGGAAAGGTCCCGATCTCCCCTTTCGATCGGGACCTTTTCTCTGCGGTCACATGACCCTAAAACCCCACCCACCTCCCAGCTTCTGAAACCCCTTAAAGGGTCCGGAGGCGCTGGCACTAAGAGGTTAACAATGATGAACTTTTAATATTTATGTAAAACATTTTCTCCCAAATGGATCAAAACTGTTTGCTGTATCTGCTTATAAAGCTACATATCTAGCCTGAGTTTGGCTTTAATTTGTTAATGTACTAGCAGATTTAGATACACTAACACTCCCGTCCCCCCAGACTGACAAAGCTGCTGTCCAAAGGTGTCTCTAATACAAGAGGTGTGTTACTGGCCAGATCACCAGATGAAAACGGGGGTAAAAAAGCCTGGGGAAAAAAACAAACTAATGTAGTTTTACCACATGCAATGATTGGTAAGCTGCAATACTACATTTTTGGTTGGGGTTTAATACTGCTTGATGCTAAAGACATTTCACTGGAAACCAAGGAAGCTTATGCATACTGTAATAGATGTACTTTACTGCAGAGTTGAGCGCAAACTTGACCTGAGCGAATAGTGCAGGGAGACCTCCTGCTGAAAACACCAGTTGCTTGGCTGTTATACTGACCTCTAACTTTAATACATTTCGAGTTCCTGACCTGACAAAGTATGCAGATAAGGAAGGATAGAATTGCTTCAGAACTCCTTATACCTGGATACTTGTTCCAGGTTAGAGATGTGCAAAGCCAAATCGCGCGTTTTTTGTGGGTGTTTTTTTTAAATGTAGAGTAGGGAGAGATTGGAACCCCTGTCAGTTTTGTGGAGTGCTTTTTTGTGCTGTCTGTCCTGCTAAGGAGATTTACCTTCAATTCTTGTCCCAGAGATGCCACAGGAAGTAAGTAGAGATCTCTTAAAAGCCTGTAACTGGAACAGGTGTCTCCAATAAAAAATTTCTCTTCCAGTGCCGACACAAATATTTTGCATTTCCCATCACTTTCTTTACTGGAGACAATGGTCAACAGGACAAACTTAGAAAGGATAAACCTCCCCAGCACAGCAGGGACAGAAGAAAAGACCTGACAAAGGTTCAAACCCTACTACACTCCATCCAAATAAGTTTTTTTTGGCTTTCCAGACACGTTAAAGTATCAAACTGTGGCCAGGCAACTAGAGTTGTTAAAATGAGAGGCTAGCAATGGTGGCTCCAGGCTCCTCCGCTGACAAATTACTTTTAGAAAGGTGACAGTTTCAAAACAATGCAAGATTTTAAAATTGGTTTTGGGGAAAATGCTTAAATCAGATGTAGGACAGCAGCAATTAAGGAACTTGCTGTTCATTTGTCAAGACAGATGGTAGTGATAGAATTTGAAGCCCGTAATCGTATCCCTACAGTATGGTACAATGCATGGTGATTTGATAGTGGAAATCTGCTTCATTTATACACTGCTTAAATCTAGCCTAGTGTGCGGCCTTATATCCGCCATGTGTGTAAATATCTTCTAGAAATGGCAAACAGAACCCTACAGTACAGGAGCAAAATACAAACCAGGTTTTCCAAATAACCTACATATAAAAAGGCATCATGCTGTGCTGTCACCTGCTGGATATAGCTTGTACTGCACTTTTTCTCCTCAATAATCCAGATAGTAGGCATTGATTTTACATGTATTAGTCATGCAAGGTAAAATAAAGGGATAAGGAAAGTTAGTTATTTATCAGTCCCAGCATAGACACACGGCTTAACAGAAACCAGTCATTTAAAAAAATTTCATTCAGATCTGCCTTTGTTAGCCTATATTTATAAAAAATGCAAACTGCATGCTTATCATGTGACCCTCTTACTTTAATTGATTGGGCCACTTCATGAGATTTTACTCTGACATACACACATATATATATATATATATATATAATATTTTGTTTTTTAGGCTTTCATGATTTTGCCACTCTACATTTGGTGAATAGTTTACATAAACAATGTTGGTTTCTGGGAAAGTTTTGCTGTTATTCCAACAATGAGCTTTCTAATAAATTGCATTCTATATCTGGTAGTCTTTGTCCCATAAAACAGAACCCAAGGGTCCAATTTTAGAACTAAACGTATACACAAAACATTCATAGATCAGCAAGACTGTTCTTTTGCACAGTTTCTAGCAACTCAAGATTTTTTTTTTCTTCTGTTTTCGTAGATTTGACCACATGGATACAGTGACAAGCAAGCATTTGGTGTACCCTCTTAGATTTTGGTATTTGTAATAAAATATATGAAAATATTAAAGACTTCTGTTCTATCTTTTAAAGGAACAACCGCATCTAGTAGTTAGAGTGCACTAAGCGGCTACTTGCCAATATCTTCCACATCCTAGGCAGATGGTCATGCACTTACACCACCATCTAGTGGTTAAAATGCAATATGCAACAAACAAAGTATGCTTCCTATATCAGCATTACCGAAGTACTATTAATGCGCAGTGTACTGTCACAGTAGCTGAGCAAAAATGTTCCCTCCTTGTTTTGTAGTAGTATTCTGGTGCTCATGACTATAAACAACTATTACATGTTTGAACATTTCTCCTAAATTTACAGAGTGGAATTTGCTACCATTTTCTGCCATAGCCTTGTTTCACCCAGTCATTTTGTCTGATATCTTCATACTGGCTACCGCCAATACAGTAATCCCATAGTCCACAGTAGGTAAAAGCATATCTATCTTTGTTCAGGAATC